TCCCTGAATTTGACACTTTGCTTTTTTTTGTTAAAATCCAGGCCAAAATCTTTTTTAATTAAAAGGCTTCTTACAGAACCTTCTCAAATTATGAATCTGATGGTTTCAGTTTTTGAGGCAATTAAATTGGATAGTCATGTTTCCAGCAGACATAAAAACAGAAGCTGCAGGAAAAGATCAGCAGGTCTTTGAAGAAAAATCAGAGTTAATGTTTTGGGTCTGGTGACCCTTCCTCAGAACTGATGGTAGCCAGGAAAATGTCAGTTTACATGCAGAAGACAGGGTGGGGGGAGGAGGTAAGGAGTAAACGATAGTTGGACAGACAGAGGAGTTGATAACAATTTGATTAGGAGCGTGAATAGCTGTTAATGGAGACTGTTAGTGGCTAACAGTAGTGTGCAATGGCAGACTATGTGATAACAAGGCCTGGTGTGTCGGGTAGGGGGAGAGTTTAGGCCCTAAAGTTATTGAACTCGGTATTGAGTCTGGAGGATGCAGGGTCCCCAAGAGGAAAATGAGGTGTTGTTTTCTGAGCTTGCGCTCAGCTTCGCTGAAACACTGCAGCAAGCCTGAGACAGAGATGTTGGCCAGGGAACAGGGTGGTCTCTTAACGTGGCAAGCAATTGGAAGCTCAGGGTCATTTTTACAGGCAAAATGTTGATGTTCTGTGAAGCGGTCACCCAGTCTTCGCTTCGCTTCCCCAATCTAGAGGAAACCATATTATGAGCAGCAAATGCAGTAGACTAGATTGTGGGAAGTGCAGTTAAAGAGCTGCTTCATCTGGAAGGTACGTTTGGGCCCTTGGATACTGAGGAGGGAGGAGGTAAATGGGCAGGTGTTACACCTTCAGCGGTTACAGGGGAAGGTGCTGTGGGACTGTAGGGGTGTGTCGGGAGTGAAGGAAGAGTGGACCAGGGTGTCCCAGAGGGAACGGTCCCTGCGGAAGGTGGACAAGGGAGGGGAGGGGAATATGTGTCTGGTGGTGGCATCTCACTGGAGGTGGTGGAAATGACTGCTGATGATCTTCTGGAAGTGGATGCTGGTGGGATGGTAGGTAAGGACAAGGGGAACCCTATCACTGTTGCAAGAGGGAAGAGAGAGGGTGAGGGCAGAAGTGCAAAAGATGGTTCAGACCCGGTTGAGGGCCCTGTTGACAACAGTGCTGGGGAATCCTTGGTTGAGGAAGAAGGTGGACATTTCGGAGGCTCCCATGTTGAAGTTGGCCTCATCAGAGCATGTGCATTGGAGACGGAGGAATTGAAAGAATGAAATGGAATCTTTGCAGGAAGCAGGGTGTGAGGATGTATAGTCCAGGTAGCTGTGGGAGTCGCTAGCTTTGTAGCGGATATTAGTGGCCAATCTATCCCCAGAAATGGAAACAGCGATGTCAAGCAAGGGAAGGGAGGAGTCAGAGATAGACCAGGTGAAAGTGAGGACAGGGTGGAAATTGGAAGTGAAATCAATGAACTGTTCCAATTCCGGATGAGAGAGGGAAGCAGCACCGATGATATCATTGATTTATCAGAGAAAGAGTAAGTAGGTGGGGGCTGGAATAGGACTGGAACAAGGAATGTTTTACATACCCCACGAAGAGACAGGCATAACTGGTTGGCTGTGGGTACCTGCATATAAACCAACATTTTCCTAGCTACCATCAGTTATGTGGAAGGTCACCAGGCACAAAACGTTAACTCCAACTTTTCTTCACAGTTGCAGCCAGACCTGCTAAGCTTTTCCAGCAACATCTGTTTTTGTTCCTGATTTACAACATCTGCAGTTCTTTTGGTTTTTATATTTCCAGTAGATCCTGCTCATAGCTCCTGCTGCATAGCATAGATTCCAACATGACTAGAGCACCTAATCAGAAAACGAATACCCCTGAGTCAGCATTGGTAATGGACTTCATTGCTGCATGGCAGTTATTATAAGTTTGGACCACCTATTTATTGTAGATGCCTCCCACTCAGCTCATTGTTCTCTACGCAATGCCACAATGATATCTAACGATATACGTGTTTGAAAAAAGTTGTCACTCATACTGTCATTCTGTGGACTTTACACACTTGATGCTTTTGTATTTATATATTAATTCTCAACAAATTATGATCAATAATCTTAAATATAACAACATTGAAAAGAAAACGCTGAACAAGTGATATAATGATGATCGGCTCTCTCTTCTTTACTCAGCATTTAATTGTATGGTCCCCTGGCTCGAAGTGATTTTTCTGGTCATTGCTTGGAGCCACATTGTTAAATCATTCAGAGTTCTACCCTAGTCTCATTTTCACTTTGATCATTCTCTTTTAACTGTGCAACATGCTGTTCCTCCTGCGTCTTTAACATTTGTATACGTCAATGAAAATATAAGTTTTTCTTCACTGTTGGGCCAGCGCCGTTTTTTACATTGCTAGTTTCCAATGTTGTCGTAAGTTGCTGTTTTTCTTAAACTCCTGAAGATAATATTTATCTTTGTAGTCATTTTTGATCAATTACTTTTGTTTTTTCTTTGTTTTTCTCCTCTGTCAGAAACCTTACAGCATATTCTTAAGCCACAGCAAGTTGTCAGTACAGTGGCCACAGCGTTAAAGCAACACCCACAGCATCTTTTCAATTGCTCTAACTTGCCATTGCAGATTCTCAAATTTACATAAACTTTTAAATGATATCCTTGGACCATTCTGACATTTAAAAATTTGCAGTTGATTTACATCAGTTTATTATGAAATTGGTATTTGTTTTGTTCCAGCCAGTTAGAAAATTGATCCTATACTTTTAGTAATGTTGTAAACTTTAATTTACATCATTAGATTGCATATGTTTTTGTGATATCATGCAAAAATATGTTTTTTCTTAGGATTGAGTGACGTGAGAAAGATTGCACTTATAGTTGTCTTGAGTGGGTGATGATGAGAACTCTGAACTGCTGCAGTTCTTGTGATGGTGTTTCTTTAGCTATACTATCAGGAAATGAATTTCAGAATATAAACCCTGTGTTTTTGAAGAGGCAGTAATATGAATCCTAGTCAGGAATAGTGTTAAGAGAAATTCCCACAGTATTCCTGCTTTTGCCCTTCTGGGCGGATGAGGTTTCAAGGGAGGAGGGTATTACAGCCAGCTCGATAAAGTGGTGCATTGCAACTGTAGACAGTAATAATGCAGCCACGGTGTGACAGTGGTGGAGGAAAGAGATGTTTAATTCAGACACCGATCAAATAAACTGCTCTGTCTTGAATGGTTTCTGATATGCTGTAAAATGTTGCACTCCAGCAAGGCACCATTAGTAAAGCAGTACCATGGTTCATAATTTGCCACATGAGGGTGGAAAATGGTGATGCACTTGTCTAACATCAAACTTCAAAATAAATATGTCAAAGACATGAAAGGAAGAAACTAAGGAGGAGGGGCTTGCTTGTAAAGCACAGCTTGAAGAGACTTATGTCAATATCCTGTGACAAGTGGGTCCATGGTCCTTGAAGAACCCCATGCAGACCTCTTGAGCAGATCTGTTGCCCGTAATGAATTAATTCCTTGGATGATTTTGAAAGGAAAATACAGTGATAAAGTGCATTCAATCACTTTGTCTCCTTAGAATTGGAATTACTGTTTTTTTGTAACTTTTAAAAATAAAATATGATACAAGGTCAATTTCTTCTGTACTCACGTGTAGTTCAGTTAACTCCATGTAAACAGCATCAGCAGTGCTTTGGTGCCTGTGTGGTAAACACTCCGAAAAAGGACTACAGCTGCTTCTGGCAAGTTGCTGCATGTCAGTGTTTTAATATGGGGATACTGATTGTGCTGAATGTTTAATATAAACATGGCTGATCAGGAAGTGTTCCTATTCTCACCACTTGCCATAGGCATAATAGATAGATTTACAATTTGGTTTGGCTGCATCATGACACACCTTCCATGGCCTTCATTATGGAGGTGGGACTGGAACCTGGAGCTTTTGGCCCAGAGGGAATGAAACTAATCCTGTACTACAAAACCTCCTAGTGCTGTGGCTTGTAATGATCTGAATCTGTGTTTCCAAAAATCTCAGTGAGCAGTCATGCCCAAAGCAGCATTTTGCAGGGAATCATTGTGCAAGGCATATTGTCTTCCATCCATTAGAATTGATTGTTTGGAAAATGACAAATCCATTCTCCCAATTTCCTGGCAGGTGCTCTTATGGAAACAGATCATGAGGAATGTGGAATGATAGAATTGAGTCTAAACTGCAAGTTTAATGTTAAATGGAAGTGCTTTGATCATAGTTCATTAGCAAATCTTGGTACCAGTATTACATTCTGCCAGCAGTCTAGGCAGATAAAGGTCTGTATGTTCATTCACATCCACACTGAAACACGAATGTAAATTTAGTGATGACAGCTGTTCAGCTGCGGTGTCCCCTTTTCATTTCAAATAGTTAATATGTGCTCACTTGAGCGAAATTTCAGAGGGTTGTTAGAACCTGTGAAACTTGATTTTAGTGTGTTTTTCTTATTCATTCACAGGATGAGAGCATTGCTGGCTTGGCTGGCATTTATTGCCCATCCCTAATGCTCAGAGGTCAACCATGTTGCTCTGGGTCTGGAATCACATCGGCCAGGCCAAGTAAAGATGGCAGTTTCCCTCCCTAATGGCCATTAGTGAACCAGCCTTCATCTACAGGAAAGGACAGAGAATAGATTGGAAGGCTGGAATTCTTGTTTAGTATAAGGTGGGCTATGTTAAAAGCAACAAAATTCACATGAGCTTCAAGATTTTTCTGTTAAAGTAATAGTGATTCTAATAAAAGCACATACAACTTCTTTATATAGCTTATCACTGGTATAATATTTGATTTTCTTCAGCAAAAATAACTTACCTCCTGTGAAAATTTAAAGAGCTCTTTTAAAATTAGTTTGATCCTTGCTTTTGTGACACAAATTGTATACATACTCTTATGACTTCATGGTTTTTGTTTACTAATAAAATCATAGAGGAAGTCCAACAATAGAATCTTTAATTACCCATCCACAATTGCTGATAGCTCTTTCTACACAGGATATCTTGCAGCATCGTTTTATGCTCCCCCGATTTGCCTTGGCATGCATCCCAAAGGATCTAGTATGTCAAAAATTAAAAGAGCGAATTTTCATTGTCATGTTATCTATTAGCTCATCAAATATCCTTTGTTCAATAAGTTAAGTAACCATGGATAGCATTTGACAATATGTAAAAGATTTTTCTATTACCGTAGCATCTTCTGCAGCCATGGCTTGATCCTCATATTCATATCCCTCTTCTCTGGCTCCCTGTGAATTATACTCATCATTAATTGTGGTAACATTACTAATTAGCTCAGGATGAATTTACAATAACTGTCCTCTATCAGGCAAAGTTTTCACACAGGCCTGTATTGTATGCATTCCTTGCCTCTCAGAGGGTTTTCCTCTAAGGACTCCATGTGCAGTGTGTAAACAATGTTGTGACTCTGCCTGCCCTGGCGGTTAGTCTGCTATGGGTCTGCAAGCTGCACAAACAGAAATCAGTTGGTTGCTTTAATGTCTGCTTTATATCTGCTTGCAGGTGTCATGACTCCTCTCTCATCCAGCAGTCCAGGTTGCCTCAGACCTCCACTCACAAAGTGTATTGATGCAATCTAGCATACAAGAAATACCTTGAAGAGTTTCACCCCTTGACAGGTGCCATCTAACTATGCGCTTGTGTTATTTAAATGTAACATAAATGAAATATGTTCATTCCTTTTGCTTGAGGATTTCTGCTGGGCCAATGTGCGGCCAAGCTAAAAAATACAACAATGTAATCTCCAGACACAGCCTGGCGCCTCAAATGTAACAGAGCTGAGAGCCTGTGCTCATGTGACAACATCTGGATACTTGGCTCATTTGTAAGTTGGCTTCTAAATATGGGCATCATTCAAACACAATAACACAGTAGCTCTAACAGAGGCATAGTCAATGTAAACAATACCATCTGCTCAGAATGACCACTATTGAGCTCACAGGCATGGTTTCTGAAGATGTGATTCAGGTGCCTGGATCAGTCGGGTGGTGTCTGCTTCATTCTCCGGAAAATAGCTCTTCAGAGAGGTTTTGGTCATCAATGACACTGTGAAGTTGGAAGGCACTAACTCTTTGGGGAAGAAGCAGGAGGAGGATGTGAAGGAGGAAGAAAGGAGACAGAGCCAGAGCCAGAGCCAGATGATGTTGATCAGGAATATGCACCAACTGCATTCCTCCTGTCTTCCTGCTGGACAAGGACCTTCCTTCTCTCTCTTTCTCATGACCTCCAGTATTGGATCCGGGTTGGCATTGATGAATTGAGACTCTGCCCTGCTCCAGTATGGCATCACACTCCCCAGTGATAGAGTGGATGGCTTTGGCATGAATTGCAGAGTTGTTGTCAGAACTACCAGCAACCTCAGTAATAGTTGCTGTGAATATCTCTAAATGAGTCCTACAATTGATCTTATCACTCCATTTCCACTCCTTACTGACTCTATGGGTAGAAACCATGTCTTGAAGTGGTCACCCCTGTGGAAATCTGAACTTTTAATAGTTTCCCATTGGAGGTAGTTTCATACCCCACGAACAAACCTGTGGTGAAGTACCTGTATTAGATTACCCTCGGTCTTCTCTTTTCAAAAGAGAAAACACCCAGCCTGTTCATTGGCTCGCAGATTTTGTATCATCCTTGTGCAACAAAAATATTCAATCTTCCAATTTGTCTAGATCCATTATACAATGTAACGATGTCTTTTGTTTTTATTTATACTTGTGGTCATTTCAGTTTTCCTTTCATTTCTGCTTTCATGAAAAGTGGAAACCGGACATGCAGCTTTGGTGATGTTTTTGCCTCTGACAATGGATCTTAACTGCCTTTGAAATAAATATATGTGGCCATAGGAATCCTCTCTTTGCTTGCTGTTACCTCATGTTAAAATCCTGTTTTAAAGTCTCTCCTTCACACCAATAGGTGGCAGTATGACCTTGGGCATTGTATTGTTCTGAATCGCTTTCATTTCTGAAGGTAATTGCTAGTAAATGATTGTGATCATTTCCTTTGTGAGCAACGTTTTAAATGAGTTTAACAATGGATTACTGTAATACTGAGAATCATCCCAGTTACAAATAAGCAACAGTAAAAAATGATTACGACTGAAGATGGCGAGGCCCTCAAAGTCTTCCTGTATTTTTTTATGCCACTAGGATCTGTGTACCTTCATTCACTTCTTAATATCCGGCAGAAGAGCCGCAGAAATCCTACAGAATGGTATAAATGCACTTTACGTAATTATTGTGAAGAGTCCATTAGTTTCTGTTGCAGTTATGATGAGCAAGTAGGAGAACCCAGATGCAAATTCACACCTTTATTTTTATTCGATATTTTAATGTATAAGATTTTAGCTACTGTTGTATTATTTACCTGTTTTGGAAGCTAATGCATAAATCATCCTAGGAGAGATGGTTTTGCTCAGTGTGTGAATGAAACCATGTTGACATTAACTTAAATTTCCTTGTTCCACTAACAGCAAACTTGTTTTGAAGGAACTGTTCCCCCAGTATTTTTATTTCCTCCAAGCTTAGCCTGTTAGATCTATTTTACAGAAGATAGGACACAAGTGTCACTTTAGGACAGACACATGTTATCACCAACAAACCAAACTGGTTACATCTTACCAGTTTGGAGTTTTCAATTTGATTGAGCACTGATCCACAGCACACACTTACAAGCCGTAATAATGTGAGCCAGTGGTTCCTGATGTTATGGCATGTTACTTGCCTTACCTGAAATGATCTAGTATTGCCTAATGCACACAAACAATAGCCAACACCCTGAGCTGCAGCCAAAAATATGTGACATGAATGCTATAACAACTAAATTCCCAGAGTCTGAGAAAGCTGTATATTTAAAAATGATTACTTTGCTGGGATCTGCAAGGACATTGGAAAGCAAAGGAGAATATGACATCTTCCATCTGGTGACCACTATTGATCCCACTCTAGGATAGCCACAACCAATGTTCACATATCATTGGCAGTGAGCGTGGGTCAGCAACCTAACAAAAAAAAATCAATAAGTCAGGTATCTCTTCGCTTCTCAAATTTTAATAGTTTTTGGTGGAGACCTATGAGCATTATCTTTTTCTAGGTCACACATTTTTACAAAGAATTGACCAGAAAACACGTTTGACAATTCTTTCAGAATAAATAATATTTGAAAAATGTTTAAATAAAGTATCATTATTTTGAAATATAAATGTTTTTGTTTAAGGTGCTTTTTGAATATGCTTGTTGACAAACTATAGAAAAAAGGTAACCTTTAGCCCTGGACAATATTACAACACATGCTTGAGCTGAGTCTAGTGCTTCACCAATATAGCAGCTTATGTTTTTTACCTAACTATATAGTGAACAGTTGCTGAGGAAGAGGTGTCTGATAGTATATTGCTTCTATGCCACACCACAGAACCCCACTGAATGATGTTCAGCCAAGATTTGAATGTAAGACCGTCGCAAACGTGGCTTGTGTGATATTTGGGGTGGCTAAATGATCAACAGTTGTCTAATGGGTGCTAGAACCTCTGTAACATTGACATTTCCTTTGTTTTGTTTTACTTCTTTGAGGATTTAATGAACTGCACTAGGGAATAATGTTTGTGTTTTTTAAGGTCTTTTAATTGAAAGCCAATTTTAGGAAGGTCGGACACTGTTATACCGTATTGAAAGATCTTATGAACAATCAACATTAAAATTGCAGTGGGATTTAATCAGTTAAAGCCTGTAAAAATGTCATGACAAATTTAAGTACACCTTGATAATGCAGCAGATTCTTTGTCCTGGAACATGACTACAATGGCAATTGACAGATGAGTTTATGAGGGAGAGAAGCATTGGACAGGCTGGGAGAAGAGAAGGCATATATAATGCACAACTTACATCAGGCACTGAACAGTAAACCTTCAGCTGACAGGATGATGTACTCAAAATGGTGACACCATGGTATACAGGGAATGGCACTGGAAATCCTTAATATTGAATCTGGACTTCATGAAGTCTCATGGCATTAGAATCAATATGAGCAAGAAAATCTCCTATCTCACTCAGCTGAAGAAACAACACTTCTCCTTCATTTGAACACTACTTGGTGAGTAGTAAAGTTACAGCAATATATTCTGGAGATGTGGGGGAATTTCAATGTCCATCACCAAGATGAATCATTGCTGACTGACCCGGTGAAGTGCAGAATTGCAAGGCTGGCCTGCAGCAGGTAGTAATGAAACCAACAAAAGGAAGAAAAATACTGTTTGACCCCGCGGCCATCAATCTACCTGTCACAGATACATATGTCTATGGTTGGCCACTGCACGGTCCTCGTGGAGCCAACAGCTCATATTCAGACTGAAGACACTCTTCATCGTGTTATGTGGCATTATCACAACGCTAAATAGGATTGATTCAGAGTAGATCTAGAGCTCATATTGGGTTAAAAAAAATCTGAAGCTGAAGGCCATCAACAACAGCAGAATTGTACTCCACCACAATCTGTAACCTCATAGGTCAACACAAACCACCATTGAGTCAGAGATCAACACTGGTTCAATAAGAAGTGTAGGACTGAATGCCAGAAACAACACCAGACACACAGAGAAATGAAAACTGTACTGCTGAGGATACAACCTGGATCTATAGGCATGCTTAACATTGGAACCAGCATATGATAGATGGAGCTAAGTAACCCCACAAACAATGGATCATATCAAGACTCCATAAAGCTGATACATCCAGACATGAATGATGGTGGAATATACACCACTAAAGGGAGTAAGAGGCTTCATTAACATCTTCTATGAGAGCTCAGCATTTGACTACAAAGACAAGGTTAAAGCATTTGCAATAATTTTCGGCCAGAAATGTTCAGTGAATAATCAATCTCAGGATAACCTTGAGAACCTCATATCACAGATTCAAGTCTTTGGCTATTTCCACAATATCAAGAAATGCCTGTTGACACTAGATGCAGTAAAGGCTATGGGGCCTGTCAACATCCTGGCTATCGTACTGAAGACTTGTGCTTCAGATTTAATCGCACCCCTAGCCAATTTCCTCCAATACAGCTACAACGCTGGCATCTACTAACAAAATGGAAAGTTGCCCATGTATGACCTTTTGGAAAAAGAGAACAAGTATAATTTGGACAGTTACCACCCCATCAGTCTACCTCCAATCGTCAGCAAAATCAATAGAAGTGGTTGCTGACAGTGTGATCAAGTGGCACTTACTCATCGATAACCTGCTCTGTTTGGATTCCACCATGACTACTCAGCTCCAGATCTTAATATAGTTTTGGTCCAAACATTGACAAAAGAGCTGAATTTGAGAAAAAAGGTCTGCAGTTGTAATCAAACAGCATCTGCACTGAGCTTTGCCTGGTCACCAGTTACCCCCAAACCCACATTCCACCCTTTCAGAGCTTCTATGTCTTCTTCCACCTTGCACTACCCGACAAACCATTTACACCTACCAGCTCCCAAAAGTGTAGACTCACCACATTGAACCTCATCTCCAACTGTCCTCTCTGCCACTGAACTACATCATTATATCTTATTGATGACCACTTTGGTACTTGAATCTCACCATGGGGAGAGTATGGTGGTCGTCACTAAGAAAGCCAAGCAAATTGACGTCAATGGGAATAAATTGGAATCTTGGGTTGAATCTTCCAAGTTTTGGCTAAGTCCAACTTGTGTTGAGTTTTTTAGAGGGTTTGTCACCTTGAGGCCTAATGGGTTCTCTTGATTTATCTTACCAAACTCACCTCATTATAGAGTCATAGAGTCATACAGCACGCAACCAGGCTCTTCGATCCAACTTGTCTATACTAACTAAGTTTCCCAAACTAAACTAATATCTTTCCAAATATCTTTAAAAAATTGTAACTATATCTCCATCTACCACTCCCTCTTGCAGTTAATTCCACATACGAACCACCCTCTGTATGAAAAAGTTATTCCTCGGGTCCCTTCTAAATGTGTAGGCGCTACTCAGTCACTCAGAGGTCTGGGTTCATTACAGTACTGGGGGACCATCCTTTGATTGTTAAGGAAGGTGCAAAGGGAGTTCTGTAGTAACAGTGGGTGGGTTGGAGTGGATGTGGGGGTTTACCACTGCCAAAAGGAAAGGCAGTGTTGAGGCTGGCCATGGAAAATGTTTATGGAGGTAAACATAAGGACAGTGATAGGGGTAATCTCAAGGTGTTTGGAGAGCATGCAGAACAGCATCAAAGGGCATGGAAGCTATGGCCGGGGATGCTATTGGCAATGACGACCACCATACTCTCCCCATGGTGAGATTCAAGTACCAAAGTGGTCATCAATAAGATATAATAATGTAGTTCAGTGGCAGAGAGGACAGTTGGAGATGAGGTTCAATGTGGTGAGTCTACACTTCTGGGAGCTGGTAGGTGTAAATGGTTTGTCGGGTAGCGCAAGGTGGAAGAAGACATAGAAGCTCTGAAAGGGTGGAATGTGGGTGTGGGGGTAACTGGTGACCAGGCAAAGCTCAGTGAAGATGCTGTCCAATTAATTAATTGTCTCTTTTATGAGCATAAGCACAGGATCTACATCTGCTGGACTTTAGGATATTGAAGGGACAAATACGTGAAGCCTACATTTGCAAACTCCAGTGATATTTCATTTGCAAACAGTTTTTCACAGAGAAGAAATTCATGCAGGTTGAACATGTTTATGTGTCAAATGTTGGTCAAGATTTCACCAGGTTATTAGCGCTGGCTGAACTAACATTGTCATCACAGTTTTGCAGGAGTCAGAGCTAATAACTTTAAAGAGGCAAATGCTGGCCAAAAGGTGCTCACTACCTGTGGCACTTTGAAGGTTGCTGTGGGAGGGGGGAGCATCACTGCATCATAAGTCATGTAAGTATGATGGTGGAATCTAATGAATGCTGTGAAAATTTGAATAGTTGAAGTGGATCCAGGATGCGAAGGAGCACAGCTACTCCTTTTGGATGTAATGTGTTGGTCACTCAGTCGTCACGGCACCTTCACCAAGTTAGTACACATGCTGCAACCAGGGCCATATTTGAGCAGATGATATGTCTGCTGACAATCTGACTCTATTGCTTGAATTGGTTTCCAAGGGGGTACCATCCAGTATAGTCCAGACAGAGCATGCTAAACAATCCAGGCATGCTGTACACAATTGAAGCAGACAATAATGTGATATGTTAGATGTTGACGATTCAGGGGACATGAACAATCTTCTCAGAAGCAGGATGAGGACTCAGAAGAAGGATGAGGACTCTAGGGACGAGAAAGCTCTTCTTGTGGATGACAGAACTCAGCTGCATCAGGCCCCTACAGGCAGACAGGAGCTGGTTGACACCCGGCTCCTTTAGATGGAAGTTGGATGCAGAAGACCATCGTGGACTGTCAAAATCGGAAGCCCCTTATTTAGGTCATATTGTTAGTGTGAACTGCAGCCTGTAGTTCTTTCCTTTGTGTTCGCTTTTGTTTTCCAGATGACAATAAAAGCTTATGTTTAATCTTTGTCTGAATGCTTGCCTGCATCTGATGCTCCCTGACTGGACAATGACAACATGTGGGTAACTATTGGGCACTCGGGAAAGAGTTTTGTGGACTCAGAGAGAGGGTGTTTAGATGGGATGAAGCTGAAGACAGGTAAATTGTGTGGCGTGGTGTTTGATTGGCAACTAGGGTGACGAAATAGGGCTGTATGTGCGACGGACTGTCAGCCATGCCTGCTGTGTGCCATGAACAATGCAGCTTTATGCCTGCTATGCCAAGACATTGCTGGATTGTCAACACTTGACCGAGTGCACAGCAGCCTTTTAAAGATCATGCAAACGCAATGATGCACTCTTTCAGCGAATATCCACTTTGTGCTGAGTTGTTCTGGAAATGGCATACGGTAAGATGCAGCTGGAATTGGACATAAGGGATGCTGTTGGGTAGGGTAGGTAGTTAATGCGATGAGTTTAGTAATATAGTGAGAAAGTCTGCTAGGCCTCATGATGAAAATCCTTAAAAACTCAACACATCTCACAGAACCAAATAAGTAAGATTCAGTCAATAAAATTTAACTTAATTTCCAATATTTAAGTCAAAATAACAAAAATCATAAAAGTGTCTGCTTGAGCATTATAGTTATTGCATTTCCTTTCATGGTCAGTATACATTTAAGAGACACAATATATCATATAACTTTAAAAGGCACAGTCATGATATCATCACTGTATCATAACACATACCTGAGGGTAGCAATGTCCCAGACACCAGTTCCTACTGGGATCACTTGCATAGTCTTTTTCTGTAACTGAATGGTATAATCCTAGCCTAACCACTTATGTGATCATGAATGTGTTATTTTTACACAATAGTCAGCTATAATAAACAGCATCTAGATCTTTCAATACCATATTGTCCACATCTAGTTTCTTCTGCCATGAGGGATAATATAAGCATTGCCACATCAAGTAATACATCCTGCTGGAGGCAAAGCCCACAGCATGCAGGCATATTACGTTTAGCTTATTTCCAAGTTTTTGGATCAATCTAAGATATCATCAAAGTTGCTACTTGGTTATAGTTAGTGCTTTTCCTATCATGTCAGTACACTTATTTCCCAAAATAACAGAGTGAAGTAAGTGTCAAGATACCTGTGCAAGTATCATTAGGGCATCCCTGAAGTGCCCAGATGTTTCTGAATCAATATCCTCTTGAAGTGGTACACCAAATTCTAAAAGCAAAACAGAAAGTGTACTTGTTATTAGCTGTGTGAAATATATATTTTCACAGAGTATATGGTGGATAAGGCACTGTTAATAGTTGGTTATGTTGGTCCTAATGTTCAGTAATAAGAAAAAAATCGCAGGTGAATTTACCCACAATAACCCAGACATCAGAGGAGGACAGAGCCTGAGTATTTTCATCTCAGTCGATCTTCCCAAGTCTTTCTCACTAACATTTGAGGCCTGTTGCCCGTGAACTACTCAGAGACTGCCATAAATATTTCCTTAGAATGATAATGACATAAATCTGCATTTTTATAGCATGTTTAAGCTAGTAAAACATCCAAAAGCCTTTATCACATCCGCCAGTTTCCACCACTATCCCAGGGTACATCCTGTCCTATGTAGAGAATGTTGTAAAGCTCATTGGCACTGTATCCCATATTTCCCCATATACTTCAGCAGACCATACCCACTGAGTCCCAACATCAAAATACTGGAAGCGCCATCATTTTTAAACCTTGCAATTTATGAACTACAGTAATGCCTTAGTAAGCAAATCTTTAAGTGAACTCTCCAAGGTGTGCGACTGCAAAATCTTAATTTATGTCATTTATAACCTTGGTTTTGGTTGGACACAATATCCATCGTTTTCTATCAACAGTGCACTGTGCTGCAGTATGTATGATCCATAGGGTGCACTACAGCAATTCATCAAACTTATTTCAAGACCATTTTCCTGTCGTGCAACTTTTATTATGTAGAAGGGCAAGAGCAACAATTTCAATGGAACATTATCACCTTCCAAATTGCTTCCAAGGAACAAAACTAAGTTGGACAAATATGGCCATTCCTTCATTGCTGTTGGTCAGAATCCTGGAATTCTCCACCTAACAGCATGTGGGAGTACCATCACAATGTGGATTTCAGTTTTTCAAGCAGAAAGCCCACTTCTAGGGCAGCTAAGCAGGGGAGAAAGTATGACTCGGCCAGCATCACTCACATCCCAAGATGCAAAAGTAAAACAAATCACCATCTTAATTTCTGTAAAACTAAACTGACAGTCATTTTAAAACTTGAATGGAATTATAAAAATTGCATTACGCATCATGTAGACTTCATTGATTGCGTAGATCTCACTGTTGGTTCTTGAGGCAAGAATCTCAATTAAACAGTTTTCATCTGTGCCCACACCCTACATTTAAAAGAACAAAGCAGTTCATAAAATGACTGCCACAAATCCAATTAGATTAATCTGATATTGAAACAAATACAATTTATAACATGAAAGGATGAATATACTATTAAATATTGCAATTTGTACAAGTGGCAACAAAAATTTTTAAAAATTGCATAGACATTATCTTGTATGTAATAATGCTTTGAATATGTACATGCCTGGTTTGGTTTTTCATACTGTTCCCTGGAAAAGTTTTGAGACTAGTCAAAGAGATTAATCATTTTTATATCAGGAAAGATGCAAGAGTAGATGAATTAAATAGTATAGAGGTCTTCAATCTCTTCTTTAAGAAGCAGATTTAAATTTAGCATTTCAAAGCCATGTCATTTGAGTTTCAGATTTACTATTCATTCATAGGATGTGCGTATCACTGGCTAGATCAGCATTTATTGCTCATCCCAAATTGCCCAGAGGGCTGTTAGGAATTAACCATATTGCTGTAGGCTTGGAGTCATATGTAGACCAGACTAAGTAAGGATGGCAGCTTTACTTCCCTAAAGGACATTAGTGAACAAAATGTGTTTTTGTGACAATCAATAATGGTTACATGGTCACCATTGGGCTTGCTTTTTTGTTTCAGGTTATTACTGAATTCAAATTCTACCAACTGCCATTTTGGGATTTGAACCCATGCCTCCAGAACATTCAACTGGGGTTTTGAATCATTAGTGCAATGACATTACCACTATGTCATCACCCCTCAATAATAATGCATGAAATATATTAATCTTATTGTGTAAATTTATAATTTCCATTCCCAATTGCATTCTACAGAGTTTACTCAATCCCTCTGAAGTGGACAATTGTAAAATTAATTGTACACGGAGCGGTTGTAAAAGTGTAGCTTCACAACGTAGCAGGAATTGACAATATATGCATCCTTGCTGTCAAATCATCAGCTACATCCTGAGGCCTGAATTAGGTCCATATATTGTGACACAATAACTCCACTTTCATCTTGATGCAAAGTGGTTTTGAGATTGCATCGATGAGAAAGTGGTTGTGAGTTGAAATGGTCAGGGCATGGTCTGATTCCTAAGTGCACTGAAGCAAAATAGTATGAGATCACCTTAATTAATCCTAATCTCTGGGGCTTTGAAAGTACAGCCAGTGCAAAGTTAAATTTCAAAAATGCTTAGATGCACTAATGTAGCTCATGGTTAAAAATTAACCAGCTAGGGATTGAAGCACTGCATATGCCCAAAGCTCTCATTTCAACAAATAGAATGAGAGCAGATAGTATAATTCAGATCTCTCCCAAATGAGTATGTGTAGTCTAACAATATCCATGTTATTAGCATAGAGATAAATAGTCATGCCAAGAAACTGCCAGGCACAGCGAATATTGGCAATCCAGGTGAGAGTGCAAATGGAGAAAATTCAGCCAGGCTCCTTTACACACATACGTTACAATCTTTGAATGATTATTGCATTTCTTACAGTACATTGGTTCATTTCATTGGTTGTATAATGAAAGGCCCTTTGAAAATGCAAGTTTCCATTTATTTCAGTAATTCAGTGAATCAGACTCAAGGATGTCCCTGTTTTAACATCCCAAGTGCATCTAATATTGTAAGGGCTCTGTCATTTTACTGTCGACTTTTCAGGTAGGCTGGTCGGCAATGTTTAACCTCCAAGGGACAAGGTTTTCATTTCTATGCCAGGTGCAGTATCTGCAGGAACATAAACTTTGACAATGCAATTTTTTTATTTCCTAGTGTGTTAACATTTTGAAAACAAACTCATTTGTCAGAATACAGGATCTGCAAAACAGTCATATTATTGTACCAACATCTCCATAATTCTCGATTTCTCTGTTGCTAAATCTAACAATACCTTGGGCACTGTTGCCTTTTTAAGCTACAAGTATCATCTATGATGGCCTTAAATAATCAATGACAATCAACAAGTTCCTAATATCATAATGAGGAGAGGAAAACTGTTTAAACTGAATATGACCTTGAATCTAGTGGAAGGAACCTAATGGAATTTTTATAAATGATTTCAATGTTTTTCCACCTACCAATTAGATTTTTTTAACATCATCTCAGAAATTTAATTAGTGGCATTGAATTAAATTCACCAGGGCTCTCTGTCAAATTATTGAATTTATTGCAGCATTGAGTCACAGAGCCAGGGTGAAATATCAACTCGGCAACATAACACAACTAATAATGTGAAATAGCTTTTTAAATCACCATTCAGCTGCTGTACGGCGCTGTAATGCATGGTTACTCGCTCTACTCTTATAAGCGATAACTAATCATACATTTTCAATCCATACAGCACAGCAGATGGGCTCTGGTTTATGCTGCAACCTAGTGTCACTGCCAGGGTACATCTTACTCCCTGATCAAGAGAACAGGCATTTGTAGCTAGGTCTCTGTGAGCAAATGCACAAGGGTGACCTTGAACTTCCAGAGGTGTTGTACCTGTGCCCTGCTAAGCAATTAACTACCATTGAGTTGTTATAGTTATTCATGTATGTAAGATATACACAAAATAACTGTGATCCCATTCTGATTAGTGTGGCAGGGCAGTAACCACGTTCAATATGTGAAGATAGATATCATGTGAACTTCCAAGGATCCAGAAATTGTCATAACTAAGAGTGCGTATATATATCAAGGGGCACATCTTTGGGAGGTGCATAAAATGTGCTGCTAAAGGCAACTTTGAGAGGCATCAGCAGGCCCAACTGAAAATCACAAGATCCTGGAGATTGGCCTTTTTATATAAGGGATGATTTTACAGTGACTACATGGAGTGTTCCATGGTCATTGACTGGAACAACCTGTGGGTCTATTTATGTGGGATTCTTGCTGCAAGAAGCAGTCAAATTAATGCAAAATCCTAAATGTGAAGATACTCTGAACCCCTTCTGAAAGACAATCCATGAGGCAAGTGGAATGCTTGTTTTTATGAAAATAAATTCCCTGTTCGTTATCTTCAGGGCAGAAAGCTGGAATTTTCTGATATACCACACATCAGTTTTCATGGAGTTGAGATTGAGGGTGGGCCAGAGTCCATGCATGGACTTATGGGGACACATAGTTCATGGGGGCAGCTGTCTATTTAGATAATCTCTTTTCAAATTTGATTTTGATATATCCACAGTGTGGAAATTGTCTGCACAGCAAAGCAGGTCTGTTGTTTGTGCATTTTCTTAGATAGCCAAGTGATACCTCAGATATCTCTTTGGAGTGGCAAGTTATTTCTTGACTATGGCTCTGGGGCACATTTGGAGGTTTGCAAAGCACCTTCAGGGAGGTTAGTGGGAGGCTACAGGAATTCTTCACGAGGGATGGTGTCAGGCACCCTTCTATTGTTAAACTAGATATGAATGTTCCCACAATGTGTACAAACTCATGAGAACCTGTAGAAGAACACATCAGAAGAGAGGTTGGCACAGAGGGTAAGGGGAACATGGGGGCTGGGTATAAGTTGGCACAGGGAAAATAAGTGATTGTGGCGTTGTATCCAGAACATATGGGGGGTATGGGGAAGGTTTTGGGCATAGGGTGACATTACACATATATGGGGGCATGGGGTGAGTGGAGGGACATAGAGTGGCAAAGAGGTGGTTGTGTGGATTATCCTGAATGGGTATGGTGTGTAAGTCTAACTGGTAGGGTATGATAAGTGAAGAGAAGAGGGCTGTTATTGGTTTTACTGGTTTTACCTTGCTGCTGTGGTCCTGAGGAGAAAAGCCTTGCACCTAACCCTCATCTGCAGTTCAAAATGACTGTTCTTTTGGGGTCAACCACTTCCCTGGACATATGGGACCTAAAATTAAAATCTGAACTTCTGAGTCAGTTCTTTCTGGGTCAGCTGTGCAGAGGTGGGAAGTGTGCTTCTTCTGCACTCTCAAAGTGGGAGTGAAAATTGATGCGGTAGTCTTGAAGCATATAATGTTTTCTGTGTGTTTTTGATAGCGGACTGAAATGGGATAAAAATTTGTTTTAAAGCCATAGATTGTTGAAAAATTACTGTCATTTTATAAAACAAATAATTTGACACTCATTCTAAGTGCTGTTTAGACAGCTGCTTGTCTTCACCACTTCTCACCTGACAAAGGAGCAGCACTTTGAAAACTTGTGATTTCAAATAAACCTGTTGGACTATAACCTGGTGTTGTGTGACTTCTGACTTTGTCCACTCCAGTCCAACACTGGCACCTCCACATCATGGCTTGTTTAAGCAGTAGGGGAAGGCTAGTTACAGACAGGGGCTGTGTATGAATAGAGATTTAGCCAGCAACCAGGAGATGATTGGTCTGTGAGCTAGTGACCACTTATTGAACACAAAGGCCTTCTGCCTGGCAACAAATATATCATTGGTATCTGAACAGTTTATGGTTATGAATGGTTGAGCAGAAGCAGTCGGATCTCTGAAAAGTAAAGAGCTGTGATTCTGCTCTGTAGGAAAAAGAATCTGAAGCCCTGAACGTGTCCAATTTGTATCCCCTTATCAATTCCTATAACCTGTGTCTTTTAATTAATAAATCAATGATTTTATCAGTGTAAACCAGTTACTAGAGATAGTAGGATTTTCTGAAGAAGGGTCTAGGCCCGAAACGTCAGCTTTCCTGCTCCTCTGATGCTGCTTGGCCTGCTATGTTCATCCAGCTCTACACCTTGTTATCTCTTAAACCAGTTACTAAGTGCCTTTTACAAATAAGTGAAAGTGTCTGGAGACTGAAGATCTATGGTCTATGCTTTCTGTCAAACTCGATTTGAAAGACTGATAAATTGGCTATTTTTCATACTTTTAAATGCTTTACCTTCTGTGATAACTCTGGAAATAGCAGGGCTTGATTTCCAGTGTGCTACCCGAATGAGGAGTAACAATTATACAAGTTAAAATTATGTGAGCTCTTCATTATGAGAAGTCAATTATTGATCATGCTTCTAGACTCACCTATTGGAAACACATATCAAAAACATTGGGCATTCATATACTAACTATTTAAACTAAATTAAAGGCTGGTTGATGAGAGGTGACACCACCTGAATTTCTGGTATACAATGACAACAAGCAAGAGTTCCTGTTGGAAGTGCAAAGTTGGAAAATTACCCTTATAATTCCAAGCACATAAAATGAAATAGTGCAGAGTATAGAAAATAGAAGTTGTTATCCCTGTCACTTAAATGGCTACCATAGCCTTCTCATTGAAATCTCATTCAACTTTGGAAGATCTAAGTCTCCTTCCTAGATAAATTTATGTTTAATATAAATATTCTTTTGATGGAGTAAATTCAAGACTTGAATGTTTTTACAACTTCATTCGGAGCATGGGTTCTTATGATTGAACTTTTGGGAATCATCAAAGGAATAATCATTTGAAGCCCAGCCGTGACTGCTAGTTGAGATCACCTGCATTCATTGTGGGTAGTTTTGGGCACTAGATGATTTGATTTATTTGATTAAGTACTTTGGGTGGGGTTGAGGAAGGAAATTAAGGAAAATAGCAGGCAGGATCATTTCTCCACTATGTCATCGGACCCGAAACGTTAACTCTGATTTTTTTCTTCACAGGTGCTGCCAGACCTGCTGTGCTTTTCCAGCAACTTCTGTTTTTGCTCCAGAATCATTTCTCCTGCTGGTCAAGAGCTTGGAGGTGAGATTGGCACATAATTAGGTGGGATGAAGGTGTATCTAAACCTCTATGCCTTTACACCTCTGTCCGGATTAGGTTCTGGGTGAAAAAGCCCCGGACTCTCTTCTCCCATAGTTATCAACTCCTGAAACCAAACCTCCACCCTCCCCCCACCACTGACCTACACAACACACACACACACACACACACACACACACACATTTAGGACTTCAGAGCTTGGCATTCTGGCAGCAGCAACAGTCTTCCCAGTGACGCTGCTGAGGTCAAGAGCTGTTGGCCTCTGATCAATCACTAGCATTCTGTAGGTGAAAGCTACCAGGGTCCTGATTCAAGGGAAAAGCTTGCCTGCTAGCCTTGCTACTGCTTGATTGGCTTGTGGCTTGGTGGACTTCCCAAAGGGAGGAAATGCGGGTCATTTCTTGTTCTTCAGTCAGCTGGTGAAACCTCCAATGCCGACAACAAAATTCTAGCCTTTGTTCAGGATTGTGACTTTGGTTCTGGAGAGCCCATTATTTCTGAAGGATTTCGGAAGTCAGACCTCAATCCTAAAATTCAAGGTTGCCTCCCTACGTCTCTTAATTTAGTCATGGCAATACATTTACTCTCCTTCACTCTCATCTTCCCAATTCTGTAACCACACAAATGCAAATTAGGGATTGGAATATTTGAATAGGAGAGCAGATATTTGCTAAAAAAATGCAATTGGAAATAGTTAAAGAATATCAATACATTTATTGTTGGAAAGATTTGTAATTTTAATTGTAAATGTCATTTTACACAATCCAAAAAAGAAAGTTCTGTTAGTGTCTGATCTTGCTACAGAAACACCTTTTAAACAGTCCAGTCCAATGAGTCATTAGACCATTTATTTCAGTGTAAGTATCCTGCTAAATAAGTAATTCTGTTAAGAGCTGTTAAAAAATAACAATCTTTCCATGATGCAAATTCACGAAAATACAGAAGTATTTATACTGTACCTTCATAGCATGCCGCAGTTCATGAGCGTCAAAAAAAGCTGGTGGATACATCAGACCCACCATCACCTCTTTGAAATGGTCAGACAATTTCTCCTTAAGTTCAGTGACCAGATCCTGTATTTCAAAGGAGATAAGTTCAATCAGGACGAACATGCAATTAACTGCAAGTTGCAAATTGTCAATAACCTGTGCCAATTCTTGGTAAATGAAATAACCTGCTATTTCTTTAAATGTTCTGCATTTGAAAAGATCCAGCAAACTTTAAATTGCACTTTTTAATTAATACATGTTAGTAATGTAAAATTAAACACCAAATCACATGAGGCATTGTTGTGGCAGCTAAGCAAACACATATACAGAAATTATGCTAATAAGAATCATAATAATGTGTTCTTTGACCAAGATGTTGGTCATGATTTAACAAATACAGTGTTAGGTTTGATACGTATGCTGATGACACCCTGCTTCACTTCACCACCACCTTTCCTGACCATGTCACTATCGCCAAATTGTCAGACATCTGTACTGGATGTGCACAACTTCCTTCCAACTAAATATTTGATTGTGCAAATTAATTTTCTTTGTGCTTGCCATAACTCTGTTCTCTAGTCATCAGCCCTAAATATTTCCCTGGCAACCATCTGATACTGAACCAGGATGCTTGCTACCTTGGTGTCATTTTTGATCCCAGCTTGAGCTTCTGACCATGCATCTGTGCTGTTACTAAGACCACCTACTTCCACTTTGCTTCAGTTCGTCCCTCAGCTCTTTAAATGGTGAAACTTTCCTTTACACCTTCTTACCTCCTGACTTGACTATTTAAATATATTTCTGTCAGTCTCCCATATTCTATCCCCTGTAAACTTGAAATCATCGAAATCTCTATGCCTACACCTTAACTCACTTCTAGTCCCATTGCCCATCACCACTGTGCTTGGTGACCTACATTGATTCCCAGTCAAGTAAGGCCTCACTTCTAAAATTTCCACCCTTATTTTTAAATCTATCGATGGCATCAGCTTTCCTATCCACTCTAACCACTTCCAGTTACTTATAGTTCTCTAATTTCGGACTCTGCAACTCTTCCAGTTTTAATTGCACTAGCTATGGCAGCTCTAGCTTCGGCTGTCAAGACCCAAAATTCAGGAATTCACTTATTAAGATTCTCTTCTTCTCTTTTCTCCTTTAAACTCTCTTTGAAATGTATGTCTTTGACCAAGTGTTTGATTAGCTTCCACAGCATCACCTCATGTAGTTTGGTGTGCAATTTTACTTTATAATGCTCCTGTGAAGCATTTGAGATATTTTATTATGTTCAAAGGCACTACGGAATACAATGGTTGTTGTTGTGATTGCAGTTTAATGTTACTTCCATACTGGAGTATTGATTCAATAGTTTCTAGCAATACTGAAATAACAGTGAAATACTTAAATAATGGCAACAAAAACATCAAAGTACAAAAAACAAAGCTACCCAGTTAGGACAGATATGCTAAAAACAGGATCTTCAAAAAATTTTCCACTGTGTGTAGAACTGAATGAAAATATCAGCCAGAAAAGAACGTACTAAATATACCTTTTGTCTTATTAGACAAATTCTGATAGTACAAGTATGTTTATTCAATTAAAGGATCTGAATAATCAGCTTTTCTTAATAGGTAGAAACAGACTTCGGTCAAAGACTGACTGATAGCACTCCAATTTAACATGTCTTTTGAGTTTTCTCTGCTGCTTCCCAGTATAAAGTGATGGAAGCGGACAGTGTAATCAGCACTACATTAGGAGGTGCTGTATAAATACATTATTAGCTGCAGCAGAACAGTTAGTCCCAGTCAGATCAGATTACAGCAACTTCTGATATGTTCCATTATATGACACATGATGAAAGGTCTGCTAGAAAATACACGAGCACCTTCCCGAAATCTATAAAACTGCCCTAGGAATAGCAAATTATAATCAACTCTAGTATTTTCTATTTCGCTGTGCTCCACAACTTGTCATTTCTCCACACGCAGAAAGGTCAGAGTGTGGAATGTAAGCTTGCTACCACTTTGCTGATATATATTTAATAAATGTTTGAAAAAAATTAAATTTTATGTGACCTGTAATTTATTTAAATTGATGAATATTTGACATCTTGGCTTTATACAGCAGCCACATAGGCAAATTAAGTATGTATTAGAATTTTAAGTTTTGCTTTTTATTTCCTTTAGTCAGCTTGGCTCAGTTTAGCAGTCTCACCTCTGAAGGTTGTGGATTAAATTATATTACCAGAGTTTGCACAGATAAAATTGCTGGCCTTGCCAGCAACACTCATGTCACATGAATGAATAAAATGTATCGTTTGTTGGTGCTGTAATCGAGTACGGAGGGAGGTGTTGAATTGTTAGAAGTGCTGTCCTTTTGATGGAATGTCATTTTCTCTACCTGATTCAATTGTTCAGATGGATGAAAACTGTTCCTTAAAATGATCTAAGGAACGATCTGGAAACTTGTTGATATCCAGGTTAATATTACACTTTCAGCCAACACACTTCAATTAAAAAAGAAACTTTGCCAGTGGAGAATAATAGCTGTCTTTGTCCATATAACAACTGCAATTCAGATTGATTTATTATGTGAAGTATTTTAAGGCATGTTGTTTAGCTAAATGTATATTACCTTTTACCATGTTAAAAAATATGACATGCCTCAATGTTCCACAGCTGTTGCAATTCCAGAAGGTGTGAAATAACAAAGCAATGTAAGAAAATTGGCATCTGAGTGACGTGGACTATGACACAATTTGTGGCAGAATTGGACAAGAAGCCCAGCAAGGCCTATTTTGACGTCGAGAGCATCTTGTTCCAACTTGCTATATGGTCTATGCTTTTAACAAGAGGCAAGTCAAATTTCTCACAAGGCAGTGATGAGTACCAATTAAGAAGGATTATTCTTTGTTAAATGCCATATTAATGCCATAATTTAGCTCATTAATATTAAGCTTCCTATTGTATCAAATGTGTGGAATAAGTTAGAAGTTGTGAAATCACAACATGGAAATCAGAGCAGATACCTGGTGACTTCAGCTCACTGCTTGATTCAAATATTCTCCATGTTGCTTAGGATCGAACAGCATTTCAGGGCACCATCCAACAAATGCCAGCCTCTCAGAACCCTTATGGAACCTTTCTGATCCACTTGCAGCAGATTTCTGCACATTAAAGCTGCACTTCAGGGTGCTTCGACAGCTAGCGTTGGAATGCTGCTGCAAGGGCCAGCTCACAGATTGGACCAGGCTGCATTTCAGGGCTGCTTGCTCGGTCTCTTTGTGCTCATGCACTTAGCACCTACCTGGGGTGCTCACAGCATTCCTGCCTTGCCCTGCCCTGCCCTGCCTTGTCATGCCACACCATGCCTTTTGGTGCAGTCATGGAGCCAGGCACCATGGAGCCAGGTAGGTTGTTTAGCTGGTCAGCAGTCCTTAGTCAAGGGAATTGACATCTTGCCATACGTCACATTGCTATGTCAATCTCATAACTGCACCATGTGCCAGCAGCACATCAGGCAAACACACTGCATGTGCAGCAAGTAAAAAGCTACGACTCAAAGTCTAGGCGAAGTGGTCCTCTGTGAAGTCCACCTTCTGGGGAGGCACACCTTCAAATCCACTAGAAGGGAGCATAAAGCCCGCTTTGAATGTCCGATATCCATTTTTCAGTGGGTCCCAGCACAGTAAGTCAAGAGCAGAATCTGTCCAGGGGCTTGGAAATAATCAGGTGTCTGTTTTAGTTGCACTCAATCCAGAGGTCTGTGCCTCAGCACTCTGGGTCATGGATCACAGTTATCCCTGTGGCTTGTTAATGGGCAGTCCAGGGGTTAATACTGGCGCAGTGAGGGAGATATACAGACATCCATCAGGGGTATGTACACTTTTCATCTGGGGCTATGTGGTTAGGTTGTTCAAGGGGATCAGTTTGATGGGCTTCAGGCTGGAGGCAACAGGGAGATGACAGTTGTAAAGGGGGTTTTATACATTGCCTCATTGTGCACTCTACATCTTCCAGGCCCAAACATTGCTGACCAGTTCATGGAAGACCAGCAGTGAATTGAGCAAGAGTTTGGCCACTGAGATCAGTGATGCCACTCCAATGACTGTGCATCTGGGAAAATGGTGCCTAGTTGCTAGAGATCCTTCCAAATACGATGTTCCCATTGTCCTCACACTGTTCAGCAGCTTCACAAGCCAAGTATTATGTGTACAAACTGATGTCTGACCTCACAGTGTGAGAATTACAGTAAGGGCTATATAGAAGGATGAGGAAACAGACTTAGTGCCATTCTGAGTATCGTTCAACAAACATCGGATTCTGCTTACACTACCTGGGCCACCAGTGTGCCATTAGAGGTTTGCTTCTTCCTTTCCCTCCTACAATGTCTAAGTGCAGCAGCTAGGTTCCACAGCTCGGTTAGAGGTAGCCTACCTTACAGTGCAGCCCATTCTGGTTTGGTTTGGTTAAGCAACACTGATGGTGTTTATCTCTAGAGAGCCAAGAACACTGAGTGTGCTCTGCCCAGGCAAATGCACTGTCCTCAGCTTGGACACACACAGGTCTGCAGTTGACCCATTCGCAGTTTTACAAGCTGGACTGTTGCTACATTCCTCTGATGAGCCTCATCCAAAATGGGAAAGAAAAATCAGTAAGTGAGATAGTGTGCAGGAGTCCCCTAAGTCTCGCTGCCTGGTCCTTCTTGATTGTCTAGCAGTTACCCATTCCCTCTATGCTCACCTCGTCTTAATTTTGTGGTGACACCACAGCTCCTAGGATGAGCCAATAGACTGCTTGGGCTTGGAAGTGGCAAGTCAGTTGGATGATAGGATCGTGGTGGTAAACACAGACACCCCAGTGATCTGCAATATTTTTGTGAGTAGCACTGTTTCTTTCATTCTTGTACGGCCCTTTAAAGAATGCTGGTTAGTCTATTCAACCCTCACTAAAAATAGACAAAGTATGTATGGTACACTATCAACTGACTTGTATGACCAAAAATTGTGAACTGAGACCTATAATTGCTAATTTCAGTATGTAACAAGTCTTCTGCCTGAAACAGGCAGCCATGATTTATTGGTATTT